ATTACTTTAGGCAAATGAAAATTACTCTGTGGAGAAATAAAAATTACTATTCAAAAAATACGATCTGCAGAAATTTTTGAACTAATTTTTTTCTCCACGCCAATGGCGCCCTCATGCGTCAGCGCTTCGGGCGATTGCCTCCCCCTCCCTCCATGTATCGGCCCTATGCGATACAACCGGTTTAATTTTTTGAAAACTTTCTTATTAGTTGGTAGTATTTTGATTTACAAATCTTGGGACACCCTATATATATATATTATTGTTATTATATATGCTAGCTGACATTTTTTAATTTTTTATTTTAATAAATAATATTTCCGATAGTTTTGCTTTTATTTTTTAATTCTTTATGTAATTTTATTAACATAAATAAAATGCTATAAATAAGATTACAAAAAATAATACAAATTTTAATTTAGAATAAAATTATGATAAAAAAATTATGATTAAAAAAATATATGCGCTATCAAAATGAACATGATTAAAAAGATGAATGTGATGAATTCATTCAAATTGATACAGATAACGAACACCAAATTAATAGATTAACAAGTTTCAAAACATTCCTTCTGAGGATCTATTCCATTAATCTACGAAAAATTTCATAATGCACACTCACGTAATTACTATCAAGTGACGCAGACTGGTGATTTAACACTTTTGTTTGAATACTACCGATACCTAGCTTATTTAGAGCGCAAGCGGAAGCGAAGAATCAGACAGCTGATGACGAGGCGAACGATACTAATTTATCATTTAACATTTGTGCAAATGTTAAGAATATGGACCCAAGGAAAATTCTACTAAGAACATATATCACGTAGTATTATCTATGTAGACAATACAGATAAATAATTGGTGATGTGCATTGATAATCAGCAAATTTTCCGTAGATTACATTTATTCATCTTTTTTTCTCTGTTTATCTATTAATTCACTATGAATTCCATACAAATTGGTACATATTACATGTAAGAATATGCAGCAGATGATTTATTACTAGTAAACATTTTTCTAAAACATAAAAGTATGTAACAATTAATCGCTAATCTGTAGAGTTCGATGAATGATTATACTGTTTGCGAGCACTACATTGTGGTACTTCGTGCATTACATGGCCAGTTTGTACGATTATTTTAAAAAATGTGGCACCTATATAATCTCACCAATTAGACCGCGTTTTTACAAAAAAACATATAATACAATTATAAATTCATAATTAGAAAAATTATGTACAAACTTTTGCGTGTATGATATATATAAAAATTACAAGTTGCAATCGATTTAATCTGCTTAAAAAAATAACAGGTACAAAGTATAAATCGCTGTACGAATAATATTTTATCACATGTTTATGTGACATTTTTATTTAAGAATCTTTTGCGGTGTCGTCCGTATCACAGTCTTCGCCATCTTGCATCGTTTGTCCCTGTAGAGCGCGACGTTTTTGCAGACGTGCACACCGTGGGCAGCAATGATTGCGCTTGGCCCAACAAACGCGATGATGCACTGCCGAGCATTGCTGACAGATAACCGAGCTGGCATCCCATGGATAGATTATCTCATCATTGCCACATATTTCACATAAGTGTCCCCTAAGAAATAGAAATATTTCTTTTAAACTTATTTTTAATATTAAATAGGATTCTCTTGTCTGTATTAATCCTAATCTTGTGTGTGTGTGTGTGTGTGTGTGTGTGTGTGTGTGTGTGTGTGCGCGCGCGCGCGCGCACACATATTTAACATTCTTGGTAAAAACATGCTGTGTAATATTGTTAAAAAACGTAGACAGTAGTTATAATTAAAACTTCCAATAGCTATAATTAAACTTCCAATTATCGCGAATAAATACACACATACTCATACACATTTATAAATATATCGTATACAAAAACTGATGTCAGGATTGAATCATATAGGAAAAATATAGTCATTAATTTTAATTCTAATTGAAATTATTGGAAATTATTGGAGGTTTTGAAATATAATACACATTACACTAATTAAAATGTACCACATGTGAAATTTTATATTATTATATAAGTACTATTCTATATGTATTAGGTGTTGGAATTAATTCGTAGCGTTTTTAATGAAAGAATGTTATTTATTTCACATGAGCATTAAAAAATACATTAATGAAAGTACTTCCCATCACTTGTAAAACGCTACGAATTAATTCCAACACCTAATATTAAGTTCGAAAACAATGATAATGGTGAGCCTTGACATATGAATTCATCATTAAAAGTAAGTTATATAAATGAATATAAAAAAAATGTATTCTTTCTGTTTTTAAATATTTACCTTGCCTTGCAGAGTTCGCATTGTTGCGTAATATGCGCGTGCATCGTATCGTACGCAGTACGAAGCTCGTCCAAGAGAATGCCACTTTGAAGATCGATGAGATCCTTGATGGAATAATTACCTGAATTTTCGATCATATGTGTGCGCAATCCAATCTTCCACGGTAATCCCTGAGTGCAAGCTTCCACGCATAAAACTAAATATTTCTTCATCATCTGCATTTCCTCTCGCATTCGCTAAAATTTAATAGTAACATATCTCAGTATCTATCTAGATAATATTATCATTTAATTAAAATAGCTACATTTAATGAAGAAGAAATGATTTTTTAATGTGCTACATTGATTGCACATAATGTGCAGTATAATAAAAAAAAATGTAATTCAAATCTATTTTAATTTCATTTTGATAAAAAAAAGAAACATTTGATTTGCCATGCATAACTTATATCTAATAATTTTTAATTTAGTTACTCTAATATATGTTTTATAATTATTATATATACACAGTGGCATGTTTGAGACTTACCTTTACAAGTGATAAATCCGGAACTAAGGTAAAGAGTTTCGGGTTTAATTCTTCTAGCGGTAGTACGGAACGATCCTCCAAAAGCATCAAAAGCTGCACTGCGGCGCGAGACACCAGACGCGGCTCCATGTCCCAATTTCTGATTACCCTCGCGGGAATGACCATGGCTGTGTTCCAATGGCATCTTTGACAGTAATATAAACCGCTGTAGTCGCAAAGTCGAGGCTCTATCCACGCGGATTCTAGAAATGTCACTATTTTGATTATCAGATTGTACATAATTTTAAATATCATAATTTAAGAAATATGTATCTATGAAAAAATTCTACATATTGTCAATCTAATGGGAAATTATAATTTCTATAAATATTTGCTAAAAGATACAAAAATGTATTCAAAATATCCCAAAGTATCTTAATACAGTTATGACAAAATTGAAATAATAAATAAAGATATAAGATATTTATATTGAGTTAACAACGTGTCTACATAACATTTTAATGTATTAGTATAATACATTGCTATTAGTATATTAGATACCTGCATTCTTAAAGGAATTGCCGAAGCAGGATAACGATAATCCTTTTGAGAAAGCTTGCAGGAGGACAATAGATTCATTATCATTATTATAATCTTATGGAATATTTTAATAGTGTTATCGAAGGAATAGAATAATTAACAGATATTAAATAAATATGACAATCAAGCAAATAGTCCATTTATGTACTCATTTACAATTAGTACATAAGACACTTTTTAATCTAATCTATTAAATACTTACTGAATGTTATTCGCACTTTACATTCCGCGCAACGGTAGCCTTGCTTCGAAAGGCCTTGCTCTGGACAGATATCCTTCGTGTGCGTATATCCGCCAGCTTCACTGGCAACCACATGCACGCAGACACGACACACATTGTTCAGACATTTCCAATGACAACTGAATTTGCAATCTGAATAAATAAGACATATTTGTAACAGAATTACCGTATTTTATGCTTTTTGTTAATAGACGTATTTGTAACAAAAATTCAATATTTTTTTGCATAAAATTCAGAGGTAAAAACCAGTATTTTCCAGAAAAAAATATTTTCGATAAAAATTGGTCTCTTCTGTTAAAAACGATAAAGTAAATAGAAAATTTTTACTCTTGAATAAACAGCTCAGATTTATATTAGTAAAAATTTGCAAATATTACTCTATTACATTTTTCTTATTAAAAACTAATATAAAATTTTATAATATTTGTATATATATATCTCTGAGCGGTTTTTATTTTAAAAATATATGTCACATACTAATTTGAATTTATCCTGGTTGAGGTAATATTTTTTACAATAATTATTTACAGTTTATAAATTAAACACAATGTATTAGGCTCCAACAAATAAAATACAAACAATCAAATTTCGATAAATCGAATCAGTGTGCAATTTATAAAGTTGAGAAAATGTATTTGTAAAAAGTATTGACTAATTAATTTCTTTTTTCTTTAAATCCCTCCCCCTCTCTCTCTCAGTAGATTCATACCAGATTCGGCAGACTGCACTAGTGCGCACTGAGTACGAACTTTTTCTGTGCCACACATTTAGATTATATAGAGCATTAACTATTACCAATCAACGAACTGAACGAGTCCAAGAAATGTTATTCTAATGTTTCTGACAGTGCAGTTTGGTATAACACCAAAGAGATTCTACACTCATGCGAGGACAGCACCAGAACAGAGCCAATGCATGTAAGCTGAATTTGCTATTACTAATTGAAGCAAAAATAATTTTTTGCATAAAGTTATATAAATGTGTTACATATATTAGTCATTTTTATAGTTTTTGCCAATTTATTCCATTGAATAAAATCTGGGATATTAGATCTATTCGCATTGCATATACTTTTAGTATTTAGTATCTTCGCTTTCTTTTTCTTTAATGTCTGAACAAGTATAGTTATCTTTATAAAAATTATGCATTTCGCGAGTTTTCTCCGTGTCCAGATCCATTCTTGGAATGCCAACGTTTCGCGAACCTTGCAATCCACTTCATCAGGACGAGAAGCAGCCTGATACTGAGCTTCCTCCAGGCCATTTCCTTTATATTACACTGCTTGTTGGAGTGATGGGGAGAAAAAGAGAATTGTAGATGGGGGGAGGGGGGAGGAAATCAGTCGGTCTTCAATAAGCAGAAGAATGGTCTTCCATATTTTACTTATGTTGTAGCCATTATCTCTATTTAGATTGTTTAAATTGTTGGGGTGTTTTGTATTTTTATGGCTTCTCTATATTCTCTTGGAAAATATGATGTAATGTTGCCTATTGTGGTCGTTTTGTCAAACAGTATTTGTCCTGTTGTGTTCTGATAATGCCGAGTGCGTGGCATATTTTAGCCTGACATCACGTTGATGTTCTTTTATCCGTAGATTGACCATTCTCTCGGTTTCTCCGATGTATTCTTGCCTACAGGAACAATTTTGTATACTCTGTGAAGGTCTTTGATCTTAGAGAAATTCTAAAGATCTGTTCCTGCAGGCAAGTATAGATCGGAGAAACCGGGAGAATGATCAGACTATGGATAAAAGAACATCAACGTGATGTCAGGCTAAAACACGCTACACACTCGGCATTATCAGAACGCAACATCGCAACAAGACATCAAAATAATCAATAAACATGTAAACAAGACAACGGTCTCTGACATATAACCAGACAAAAGAATCCTATCCATTCTCTCATATTAAAGGAACAATAGATCAGATTGGCAGGATATTAAATAAACAATATCCGAATTATCTTCAAAAGATAGGAGAAATTTTTTCTCGGCATGTAGATCCGGGGGAACAGCTCAGTACCAAGCTACTTCTCCCCCTGATGAAGTGGATTACTAGGTTCACGAAACGTTGGCATTCCAAGAATGGATCTGGATACGGAGGAAATCCGCGAAATGTATAATTTTTATATAGAAAGCATTCATAGAAATCTCAAGAATATATTTATCTTATTTTAAAATAATAAAATTTGTTCTCGTTTAATTTAATTTTTTAAATGCAAAATTTTTAGGGAAATTTCAAGCAACGTAAACAGGCCTAATAAAAACTGGAATTTACTATGGTTTTTTTCTACCTGTTAGACTTTTTCAACCAATTTGTAATTGTAATAAAACAATCATCAAAGATATCATTTAAATCATTGGAAATTATGCTAATCATCACAATATATATTGATCAATATATATTCAGAGAACAGTCTAGAGCTGAATTGTTTAAGATTTACCGTTGCACATGTACCACGATTGCAGCATCGTCCAAATCGCGCCGCTGCAATGGTCGCAATAAACCGGACTAGACGTGGTAATATAGTACTTCTGCGGCACGAAGTGATGACCGAGAATTACGCGTGTCTCAAAGAGATTCTCATCTGAAGTCTCACGCAACTCTTGCACGCGCAAACGCAATTCAATCAGGCGTCGAACGAGCCATTTACGCTCATCTGAACATTCGGCACTCTCCAACACCATCAGTTTGCACTTGCGCACCATCTCTTGAAGATCTTCCTCAGAAGCATCCTGGGTAAAACAATCATTTCCATTATTTTCTCTAATATTCATTTGTAACAAGATAATATTGTGATAATACAGACAAATTCGTTTATAGCGAATTTAGTCACTTGCATCACAAAAAGTCTGTTCTTTTAAGCTGAACTTTTGCACCAATTCGTTTTTCTCTTCAGGAGAAAAGAAGAAGATGAACTGGTTTCCTTTCAAATTACGCATAAATCTTTCGTCTTTTACTAAAGATTTCAATGGAGGGGAACAATTGATGAGTCAAAGATTTTTTGTGCTGAAAGTCCAGCCAAAAAGAACAAGCCTTACATTAGTTATACTAAAAGCTGCTACATGAAATTAGCAAAGTAAATGTAAAAGCATGTGAATATTTTGAACAATTTCATTTACAATATTAAATATTCAATAATTATTATCACGTTATTAACAGAATATATATGATATATTATTTCATTGTTGATTATATTATGCCACTATTTAGATCAGTATTCATACTTGACAAGTATGAATTTTTATTTTTAGATCGTCTTAAGTAATCTTAAGTGATACTAATACAATTGTCTGAGCGTAATTCATACTTCATAGTAGCTTCTTACATTTAGGATTATCTTAAGTAATCTTAAGATAAACCGATCAGAAGAGTGCGTACGTGTATGCATGCGTGCGTGCATGCTAGCATCTAAGATATTACCTAAAACGATTTTGAAAAGAAATATTATTTTAAATTATACTTTATATATACCTTGGATAATGACAGCATGGTCTCTACTGATTTCAAGCTGAATGGTATGGTACTCTTACTTTATTGTCGGAGCTATCACCCGCCCCCCCCGTCATATACTCGGAAGAGGATGATGGTGTTGATGTTCCTGTGCCAGAACCTCGGCCAAAACTGTTCGCTCGTATCCTCGATTCGTAATGTGAGTCGTTCTCTCCGATGGGAGGATTGCTCTTTATATCTACCATTTTCTGCACAAAACACTAAAAAGGATTAAAAAAGATGTGTTACATTTTTTTTACAAAAATAAATTTCACAATATCACAATACTTATTTAGCAATCCCTGATGAAGATTTTAAATCATATAATTTCAGAATTTTTAAGTATAGAATTTTTCAGAATTTTTAAAATTTTATAACTAGACATCGGATTCTGCAATTTCATACTTTTTTTTTAGAAAGATTGGAAAGTAACATAAAAATTGAAATTTGTCTCATTATAAAAGCATTCTAAAAATGCATATTTATTTGTGCATATTGCGCATATTTATAATACATATTTATGCAAATCTGAATATTTGATATTTAGTGCACATCTGCAAAAAATATCTGTATAAAAATCCGAAAATAAATGTCTACTTATAACTTTTTAGAAAATTTCTTAGACTTTTTTTTACAAAAATTGAAACATTTTATATAAACCAATCAAGGATTTTTAAAAGTTCAATAACAATATAATTATAAAAAAGGCAAACAAGAATCGATTCTTTAAGATATAAACGTACAAAAATTATTAATATAAAGTTTTTAAATACATACATAATAGAAAACAGATATTACATTCGGCATGTTAGATTGAGTCATTTTCAGATATTCTCCTCTTCACATTTAAAATTAGTTACTAGTCAGAGAAATAAAAAAAAATATGTAATGTATTTAATATAATGTGTTTCAACTTATGTAACAATCCTAATGAATGTTGTATGGAAGTTACCAAGTCAAACGATTTGCTGATCAATTGTTAAGAATTTTGTGAAGATCTGATAAAAAAACAGATTCTTTCACCAATGAGTAAATAATTAACTTGAATAAATAAAATTCTTTAAGGAAATTATCTTTACTTGATTAAAATTTTTAAAAAATGAATAGTAACATGAATAACTAAAATTTTTTTAAGAAATTGTCATTTTTTTAATTAAAATTTTATAAAAAGTAAGTAATCGCATCATTTCAATAAAACACTCATCCGTAGATCGCAGTTATCGTTACATAAGAAGAATACATCGTCCAAAACATTGTTGAAAATGTGTAGAATGTAATGAAAAATACGTCAGATGACGATAGATATACTTAATAGTCAGTATAATAAACGAAAACTATGTGTGTCTGTCAAATCTTCCAGAGGTATTATTTGAACTTTGTTAACGGTAAGGCAGACTGTCACTATTTGAGAAGCGATTAATAGACTGACAAAAAGACTCAATAAAAACAATGTCGATTTTGTTTATAATTTGTTTTAATATATACGCTTTATGAAGATCCTTGGTATCTGTTTGCAGATTGAGACTGTTTTTTTATGTTTAACATCTCGAAAATTAAGCGTTTATTGTAATATGGCTCTTTGTCTAATCTGGATGTTATTCCAATTAAAATCATATGTCATTTGTATCCTATGCAATGTATCGGTGATTACAGAACAGGTAGATGTATTCCAACGGATACGGTTGCGATGTTCTGCAATTCTAGTTTTAAGTTGTCTACCCGTTTGTCCGACATAAGATGCATCACAATTGTTGCACATAATCTTGTATATTACATTGTTCTTTGAATAGTTTAATTTAGAATCTTTTTGCACTTTAATAAACTTGCTTTAATAAACTTTAATAATTTACTAGAACTATAATATGAGACTTTGATGTCCTCTCTACTAATTTTTTTAATTTATTGATTATCGATGGAATAAAAAGTACCGTGAACACCATGATGTTGTAACACTTGATTCTTCATTTTTATTTTTATTTTCACAATTATGTACTACTGTTCCTCCACGATGTATGTTTCTGATTCTGTCATTGATAGTATAAAAAAAAATGAATTTCAGAGGATAATCATTCTCAATTAGTGCGTTGATTATTAATGTCAGATTTTTTTGGTAAAATTCTGATTCAGACAATAATAGAGTTCTGTCAATCAAATTAAATATTATCTTTCTTTTTTGGGAGACTGATGATTTGAAAAATAATTAAGGAATCTTTCCTAAAAAAGATTTGATAGACACACATAGTTTTCACTTATTATACTGACTATTACCTATCTACCGTCACCTGACTGATGACTACTTTGACTGATTTTTCATTCTACACATTTTTAACAATGTTTTGGACGATGTATTCTTCTTACGAAACGATAACTGCGATTTTACAGATGAGTGTTTTATCGAAATGATGCGATTACTTTTTGTAGAATTTTAATTAAAAAACGACAATTTCTTTAAAAAATTTTATTTATTCAAGTTACTATTTATTTTTTTAGAATTTTAATCAGGTAAAGATAATTTCCTTAAAGAATTATTAATTATTATTAATTATTTATTCGAGTTAATTATTTATTCACTGGTGAAAGAATCTGTTTTTTTTTATCAGATCTCTCTCTTCACAAAATTCTTAACAATCGGTCAACAAATCGTTTGTGAGTAATTGGTGTCTTCCATACAACATTCATTAGGATCGCTACATAAGTTGAAACATATTATATCATGGTTTTTTTTTTATTTCTCTGACGATGGTAATGAATAATTTTTATACGTTGATACTTTAAAGAATCGACTCTTATTTGTCTTTTTTATTGTCATATTGTTATTGAGACATTTTAACAAGTATCGAGAAAGCTGCCTGAAAACTTACATATTTTTCTAAAATTCTTCATATATGTGTGAACTCTGAAATATTTTAAGCTTTCTTATTTTATTAAATAAGAAATCTTAGAGAATATTTCAGAATTTTCATATACGACAACAAATTTTAACAAGAATAAACTCAGAAGTGGGATCCTCACCAATTTTAATGGTAGAAACTTGGTAGGATTATAATGTGTTCCTCTAATGCCCATAGCACAAAAACGTAAGATGTAAGCAGTAAGGAAATTGTAAAGCGTCGTCTACAATGAACAGACACATTGATCGATTTGACGTTAATCGATGATTGACGAATTAGTTTACTACTTATGTCTTATTCCTTACGTTTTTGTATGTGCCATAGGCTTAAATATAATCCCTCTATTTTTCTCTATTTGGAGGAAACCCAAATAAAAAACCGATCACAATCGTTTCCGAGATATTTCAGTAGTATCAGTTCATTATAAAAGGGAAGATGGTATTATGGCATCCCAATTGCATTTTATATAATAGCTTTGTTAATAATCAATATTTAAGTTTAAAACTTGACAATTACATTCATTGTTGTTGAATCGATTCTGGACTCAAAGTTATGAAATATTTATTACTTATGATACTATTAATAAAAATGTAGTGACATTGCATGACTCGAAGAAAAAAAATGGATATTTAATGAGATTAATATGGTCTTCCATAAAAATAATCTTAAAATATTAGTTTTAGAAAATAATATTTAATTACAAAATTAACAAAAAAGTAAAACATTTTAAAATTTATGCAAATGAATGTATGTACATAACTTTTGCTAGCTATAATAAGCTGCTAAGTACTAAAAATCTCAGTACAAAATGTTATATCTCAGTATAAAATGTTAAATAGCAAAATAACACATTCAAAAATACAAATATTCAAATAATAATATGCTCAAGTTTAAGAAAAATGAGGAAGTAAGTATAATTGAATGCTAAAATGTATCTTAGAAACATTTCGAAATACTTGAAAGTAAAAATGCATTATAATAAATGCTAGCTATTGAATATTAGTATTATAGTATATCAGCATCATGATATAATGGTGAGCTACTGAACAAATAATTCCATAAGTAATTATTAGAATTCGCTATATAATAACAGAGATATTAAGGGAGGCCACAATATATACAATGACCATAATACCATCTTTTCCTCTACTTTATATTCAAGTATCTGTAGCCTAATGAAAAAAACTCTTTAAGTTCATTGACAATTTGCTCTGTTTTATATAAATATTTCTATACACCTTCGAAATTATTCTAACATTTTTTATCAAGCAGCAGTTATAATACTTAATTTGTATCAAGATTTAAATTTGAGTCCACAAGAGGCTGTTATCATATCCACATCGCTGAAGATACTTGAATATAAATGTGATGACATTACATGACTCGAAGAAAAAACTTTTTGTTTTCTGTTTTTTGCTATTTTTTACTTGTCTTTTTGCTTCTTATCCGATCTTTTGTTTCATGTCACCTGAGATAAAAGTTAACGAACTTCGGAAGAAACAGAAAACACGTAGCAAGAAAATGCAATTGTTGATAAAACGGTTGCAAAGAGGGAAAAGCAAGAAACAGGAAACGAAGAGCACATTGTAGAATAAGCTTAAGTTCTACAATAGTTTTAACTAGTGAAGATCAGTGAAGATCTATGAAGAGCACAGTATTGCAATTGTAGGCTAACAGACCGAGTACGCAGTAAGATAAAAACTGAAAAATTACATAAAAATTAAACGTTGCGTTCTCCTTCCGCAACATTTTCCACTAAATTTCTTCCGTGAAAAACATCACTAACCTCGTAACGGCGCGAACAAAAAAATGGAATTGAAGGAAGAATACATACCGCTTTTATTGTTACTTGCGCTCTTTGAGCGAAACTACTTAAGTACACAATACTTTTAATTATCACTATTCGTTGCGTAAAATTCAGCAATAAATTGAGTTAACGATAAATAAAAACGGATAAAAACTCTCATTTCATCTCGATAGATGATTTTTCAGGTTATGCGCGCGTTGAATGGCTAAAGTCCATGGCACATACAAAAACGTAAAGGTGTATTCACATGCAAGCGTAAAGCAGTGGAAACAGCAACCAATCAGTTGGGCGATATGGGCAGCGGTAAAAATATTAATAATAAATTATGTAGGAAAGGGCTACGAGCCATAAAACAAAACAATGTAACGTAAATAATGAAATATAATTGAAACAAAAATATAACTACAAACGGCGTTTCGACCCTACTTGTTTCGACCCTCATTCTCAATGTTAGATAAAATGAAACATAAAATAAATTTGGTAATTATTTAGAATATCCTATCCCACTTAAAATCTTTATAAAAATATACCCATTTCACGCGTTTTCACTCAAAACGAAAAAATCTGGCAAAAAAACGCAGCGGTCGGCCTCGTGAATAGAGTTATTAAAGTTGGAGACTTTAGAGATTAAGATATCTATTATCCTGACTCAATACCCAGCAAACGAGAATGGATTGAAATGAATTGAAATGGATTCAGATTTTCAGAAATATTACCGCGTACTACTCAATGACGCTTCGTTTACATTCGTTGTACAGCTCAATGACGGTCCGTTTTAAAATAAATTTTTTTATCTCTATATCCTGAAAGCGTACACAAAGCAAATTTGAATGCTCCGTGTACTTTTTGCCGAACGTTTAGGAAGCATATCAGTACGCTCCATTTTTTGCGTCGTGTTGAGGAGCGTATAATAATAAGAAATAAAATTAATGAAAAAAAAATTTTTTAACGTGTGAGAAATGTGACAGATGTGTTTTGGGCACTTTACGAAGCGTTTAGGGAGAGTTCGTGGAGCGCATATGAATATTCAAAACCATTAAGAGTCAATGAAAAATCAATGAAGTATTTCCCAGCGAGAATGAATTGAAATGAATTCAGATTTTCAGAAATATTGATCCACGAATGTTAAAATAAATGCTTTTCAATCCTGCAATTTTGAATTGAACAATATTCATAATGATGCCTTTCAATTTAAAAATAATATTAGCTTTTTCTGTGCACACACATTATGAATATTGTTCAATTCAAAATTGCAGGATTGAAAAGCATTTATTTTAACATTCGTGAATTAATATTTCTGAAAAACTGAATCCATTTCAATTCATTTCAATCCATTCTCGTTTGCTAGATGTATTAACAGACGAAACAATGATTCTCAGTGGACAATTAACCTTATAGATCTTCGTAAGGCCATATGCCAAAGATACGAGTCAGATGATTGAAGGGCCAACTTTGTTTTATTGGAAATGTAATCATTGTTTAACCATTTCTTTAACATTAAATTCAAATTCCTTTCGATCTTTTTAATCGGATTTTTCTCCACTATATTATATTATATACTTTATCTACTATAATATAATGATATCTCCACTATATCATTATCCATCAACAATTCCTCCATTTTCTTAATATACTTATCTTTATCTAACGCCACGGTAACATTCCCCTTATTGACTCGAGTGAAAATTACGTTGGGATTCTTTTTACAAAACAACGTAGTTGTTTTATATAAATTTAAAAGTTCTAATTCGTTGTTATCATCAAAATGATTGTTCACCAAAAAATTCTCTAGACAGAGAGAACGACAGAATCTTATTTTTATACGCATTATTGAAACCGCGGTTATTATTTTCTAGATTTTTAATGAATTCATGAACTTTTTATCTATATATGGATGAAGAGGCAAATTGAAATTATTACCTAATTGTAATAAGTTAGAGACTGAAGGAGAAATGTCGATGTTGGACATATTAACAAACCATTTGTTATTCATAGTTTTCAACGGATTGTTTTTTATACTTATGAATTTTATCGGATCAATGAAAATGTTTATTAAATCTGTCCTCAATTCTTTAGAGGATTTTTCATTAATGATTAATTCACCGTTGTAACCATTTTGAGGAACGGAAGAAAGACATGGATACGGAATCAAATTATAATAAACTCATTTCGGAAACACTACATATAAAAAAACAGTTAAATGGTATAAAAAAAGACATCGAATCTCTAGATGACATATATGTTTACCTGTTAAATTTAATTACTAATAACAAAAACGACAGCGCTTAGTTCTTTTGTCATTTAACAGATCATGACATACATTTGCGTTTATACTCTCTCGCAGTTAAGATTGGTCTTGCATCAATGAATATAACCGATTTTAAATTCTATTAGGTGTTGGAATTAATTCGTAGCGTTTTACAAGTGATGGGAAGTACTTTCATTAATGTATTTTTTAATGCTCATGTGAAATAAATAACATTCTTTCATTAAAAAACGCTACGAATTAATTCCAACACCTAATATATTACAATTTTAATAGACTGTTGCTAACTTGCCATTATATATAATTTGTATTTACCTTCATATTAATGTAAGTGTTGTATAACTTTTATTCTTTATTCCTTGAGAATTATTTAATTTTGTTAATTGATATTATAAATTTATTTGTTATTTATGTTTCGAGGTTGCTTTTTTATTTTAATAAAATTTTTATATATATATAAAGCTATAATTTATTATCGATTTACAGTATACTTTTAAGTATTAAAGATAGTTTTTAAGTTACAAACTGTTTAATGTCTTTATAATTTCAATTTTGACGATAATTTATTTTATTTAGTTTACCTACCAATATTATTGACGTACATACAACTTTTTATATAATTTGACATTAAGCCGAGACGGTGGTCTAAAGGCTCAGGACGCTCGCACGGAATGCAAGAGATCCGGATTCGACTTCCGATCGAGGCAATATTTTTCTCAATAAGTTTACTACAGTTTTTTAAGATTAATTTGTGAAATTTGGGGAGATTATTAATATTTCAGATTGATTGCGTTGAAAGTCCGACAATCATATCGGCACGTAATTATCATTTCTGAAATTAATTCATTTCATATGAATACGTATATATATTAGTTCAACATCTCAACACTCAGAGTAGTAGCACTTCGTATTTAAAGTAATGTTATTTAACATAAACGGTCTTGTTTTCAATCTTATTATTCTTAAATCAAATTACTTTCTTTTTCATTTTTTTTAAATTACCATTTTACCAGCCTCCATAAATTACTGACTAATTTACCGTAAATTACCGAATAAATTATCATAAAATTTGGTCATTTTCATCTCTAGTTACAGCAAATAGTAATGTAAATATATCAGATTTAATGTGAATTACATATAATTATATATAACTAAAATATACGTATATAATAATGATATAAAGGATATAAGATAAATATCTTACCAATATCTAAGTCCCGACCTGTAAAACTTAATAGATGATTAAATACTTGATTTCCTTTGAGATATGGTTTATACTGTTTATGTAGTATCACCTCATAACACACAGGCATAACCTGAAATTTAAATTTTCGTATAGATGCACGTCAAACATGCTGGGATAACACAGGAAGTCTTTAATACACCACTACCTGTTTAATACACCCATACTACCCAGTTCAAGGAACCAGATGGTTTTTCCATCCTCCCGGATGGATAGAAATCTGAACGTTTCACCTAAGCGCCCAATAAAGGCACTCAAACGGAATCTGAATGCTTTCTGGGAATCTGGATGCACCCGGATGGGGAATCTGAACGCAGCCTTGATGGTGCTCGCCAGAGAGAATCAAGGGAGAGTGGAACGGACTCATCCGGAAGCCGCTATTTATAGATCACCGTTAAAGTGAGTAGGAGACATGGTAGGAACATGATGGAACATACGGTGCTGCACACTAATATTGTATCATACTAGTATTGTGTGTGTATGACATATATGTACATACACACACATGCACATTTGCGGAAGTGCATTACAAATGGCGGAACCAATCAGAAAATAGAATCACTATTCGCTTCCCCGATTCTCTCTAGATTGTGTCTCCTAAAAAGAAAAGCAGCCACTGAGTGCAGTCTAGTTATGTACAATATTTTGTATTCAGATAATGATGTCACTATTTGCTTACTTTGATGAGAAATAAGTACGAGTTAACAAGTAAAGCACATGACCTCGAGCTTGTGCAAATTATAGGTAACAATTTAGTTAACTCTCACTTATCAGAATAAAAAGATATGTATGTGCCGTATTCAACTGAGTTATAACATCATAAATGAAAATTATGTGAATTGATGTAAATGGAAAGCAACTATAAATAGCGTTCAGCAGAGAAAGCAGCTTTGCTTTAAAATTGCTATTAGAAAATTCTTTAATATCATTGATTTATACATTTAGATCCAGTGAGAAATTGAAGGCAAGATTAATCATATTAAAATATTTATAATAGTTATTATAACAGTTATTATTATTGCTTTCTGCACTGAACGCGTAATCAATTAATCCGGTTGGAGCAGGAGGCTAAAACTTTACCGCATAATTCCGGCGAATCGAATTTTATTTTAAACAAATTGATTTTTTTTTACAAAAAACATTTTTCTTAAAAAAATGAAAATTTTTTACATAAAAATTTTAAAATTTACAGCGCGCTCGTAATTGACAAGTATTATTTCCCAATGTTTTTCGTCCGCGCACAAATGTTATAAATAATTTCTTTAATTCTACTGATTTCCGTGCCGAAATATTATAAATAAAAGTCGCCGATATAACTATACGAACGTAGTGTTTCTCTTCATTTCGAAGAGTTGCGCGGGTACGCTTTATCGTGAATTCAAAGTAGAGGAGAGAAAAAAGAAGCAATTTCGTTTTTAATACACGCCTAGCACGATATCAGTTTCAGTCTTAGATATAGGAAGCATATGCGCATTTCGAAAAGATTCCTTTCTTGTCAGAGATCTGCTACTACATCCGATTACGCTAAAATCTATGGAGAAAAATCAGCACGTTATATACAAGAAAGTTTTACATTCACATTTTATGTCGCACACATGCACGCACGCATGCAATTGTTGATTTCCTATTAAAAATACGCAGTCTACGTAATGATTTAGTCACCGCGGCGGTATTCGCGCCTTATACGGGGGATCGCGATGAAAGACACTTAGTTTTTTGTAAGCGTTTTTTCACATTAAATGAAATCCTCTCTTGAAAAAA